TAGGAGTTTTATGACTTCTGGTCTTACATTTAAGTCTTTCATCCATTTTGAGTTTATTCTTGTATATGGTATAAGAAGGTGGTCTAGTTTCATTTTTTTGCATTTATCTGTCCACTTTTCCCAATGCCATTTATTGAATAGACTGTCTTTACCCCATTGTATAGTCTTGCCTTTTCTTTTTTTGTCCATAGATTAATTTAATATATAGGTATGGGTTTATTTCTGGGTTCTATATTCTGTTCCATTGATCTATGTATCTGTTTTTATGCCAATACCATGCTTTTTTATTACTATAGGATTATTGTAGGTTAATTTGATATTGGGTAACATGATACCTTCAACTTTCTTCTTTATCAAGATTGCTGTGACTATTGTTTTGTGTGTGTGTGTGTGTGTGTGTGTGTGTGTGTGTGTGTTGTTTTGTTTTTTTGTGGTCCCATATAAATTTTAGGATTATTTGTTCTAGTTCTGTGAAAAATGTCATTGGTATTTTGATAGGGATTGCATTGAATATATAGATTGCTTTGGGTAGTATGAACATCTTAATGATGTTAATTTTTCTTATCCATTAATATGGTATATGCTTCCATTTATTTGTATCTTCTTCAATTTCTTTCTTCAATGAACAATAATTTTCAGAGTACAGGTCTTTTACTTCCTTGGTTAAATTTATTTCCAAGTATTTTATTTTTTTGGATGCAATCCTAAATTTTTTTCTTAATTTCTCTTTCTGTTAGTTCATTATAGATTTATAAAACTGCAACCTATTTCTGAATATCAATTTTGTATCCACTGCTTTACTGAATTCATTTGTCAGTTCTAATAGTTTTTTTGGTAGAATCTTTAGGATTCTTTATACACAGTGTCATGTCAGCTGCAAATAATGGCAGTTTTACTTCTTCCTTTCCAATTTGAATATCTTTTATTCTTTATCTTGTCCTATTACTGTGGTTAGGACTTCCAATAGTATCTGATATAATAAAAGAGAAACATGCAAATTAACCGTTCCTCCACTATGCTCAAGCCACACCCACCAGCCAATCAGGAGTGAGTAAGCAAATTAACCCAACTAAGATGGTGGCAACCATGGAGCTGGAGCAAGCAGGAGGCTTGGGTTGCGCAGGAGACTTGGGTTGCTCCCGGCGATGGAGGAAGTCAAGCTTTCTGCCTGCCCTGGCCGGCCCTGGGCTCCACTCAAGGCTACAAAGTTTCAATTATAGAAGATAAATAAATCCCAGAGAAAAAAAAAGAAAAAAAGGAGAGGCTGGGAGTTTGGGTCGCCAGGGGGTGTGGCCAGCCTGAAAACGGCCATCAGCCCCTCATCCAGGCTGGCCAGGCACCCCAGCGGGACTCCCCCACCCTGAAGGGGCTGTGGGCAGCCTGAAAACAGCCCTCAGCCCCTCACCCAGGCTGGCCACAACCCCATGGGGTGAGGGTTCCACTGGGGGGCTTGGTCAGCCTGCAAACAGCCATCAGCCCCTCACCCAGGCTGGCCAGATACCACAGTAGGGACCCTCACCCTGAAGGGTGAGCGGCACGCCTGAAAGAATGGCATTGACTGTCCACTATGACACACACTGACCACCAGGGGGCCAGATGCTCAATGCAGGAGCTGCTCCCTGGTGGTCAGTGCGCTCCCACAGTGGGAGCTCTGCTCAGCCACAAGCCAGGCTGCCAGCTGCCAGCACAGCAGTGGTGGCGGGAGCCTCTCCCGCCTCCTCAGCAGTGCTAAGGATGTCCGACTGCAGCTTAGGCCTGCTCCCCGTTGGCAAGTGGACATCCCTCGAGGGCTCCCGGGCTGCCAGAGGGATTTCTGACTGCCAGCTTAGGCCCGATCCCCCAGGGAGCAGGCCTAAGTCAGCAGGTAGACATCCCCCGAGGGATCCCAGACTGTGAGAGGGCACAGGCTGGGCTGAGGGACCCCCTTCCTGAATAAAAGTGATAAAGTGGCCATCCTTATCGTGTTCCTGATCTGAAGGAAAACACTTTTAGCTTTCTGAAGGAGTAAGATGTTAGCATTTTGACATATAAGGCCTTTATTATGTTAAGGTATGGTCTCTCTATTTCTACTTTGCTGAGATTTTTAAATCATAAATAGATGCTGAATTTTGTCAAATGTTTTTTCTGCACCTATTGATATTATTTATGATTTTTATCCTTCACTTTGTTTATATGGCATATCACTAATATTGAACTAACCTTGCATTCCAGAAATAAATCCCTCTTGATCCTGGTGTATAATTTTTAAAAAAATGTATTGCTGAGCCCTAGCCAGTTTGGCTCAGTGGATAGAGGGTAGGCCTGTGGACCTAAGGGTCCCAGTTTTAATTCTGATCAAGGGCAGGTACTTCAGTTGCAGGCTTCTCCATGGCCCCGGCCTTGGTCACGGCTCATGCAGGCGGCAACCAATCCTGTTTCTCTCACATTGATATTTCTCTCTCTCTCTAAAAAATCAATGGAAAAATATCCCTGGGTGAGGATTAAAAAAAGAAAGAAAAATGTATTACTAAATTTAGTATGCTAATATTTTGTTGAGGATTTTTGCATCTATGTTCATCAGGGATATTGGCCTACAATTTTATTTTATTTTTTTTTTGTAATGTCTGTCTGGTTTTGAAATCAGGGTAATGATGACCTCATAAAATGATCTTTGGAGCATTCCTTTTTTTAAAAAAAATAGTTTGAGAAGGATAGCTGTTAATTCTTCTTTAAGTGTTTGGTAAAATTTATCTGTGAGGCCATTCAGTCCAGACCTTTTCCTTGTTGGGAGTGTTTTTATTCTATTTCATTGGTAGAATTTTCTTGATTCAGTGTTGATTCAGTTGTGAATAAGTTATACTAGCCATTATAATTTTCTTTCCTGTTTTCTGTATAGTCAGATTTTTATATCTAGGTTATGTGACCCTAATAAATGAATTGGGGGATAGTCCCCCTTTTTCTATACTCTAGACTACTTTGTATGAAATTGTGATTACTTTCTCTTTGGATGTTTGGTAGGCTGAAAATCATCTGGGTCTGGATTTTTTTTTTATTACTAATTCATTTACTAGTTATAGGTCAATTTTCTTTCCTTTTTCTTTTTATGTAGTGTTCATAAGATGCAGTTTTCCAAGAATTTGACCATTATACTAAAATTTTAAAATTTATTGGCATAAAATTGTTCATATCATCTTTGCCTGCACCATCCATATAATTCTGTCTACTGTCCCATTCTGATTTTTCATCAAGATCCATTATCCCTTCCCTTCCAAGTCCAGAGTCAGAACAGGCAATGGAAATTAGGTCACCTCAAGCCTCCTGCTCTCAAGGCTAGGGAGAGGCAAGGTCTCTACGGCCCCTAAGGAGCCCCAAACCAGGAAGATGAAGGAATGGGTTAATAAGCAACCCCTGCAGTTCATTCCCTTAGCGCCTCCCCCCGCCCTCCACCCCCGCCCCCCCCACCAGAATGGGGCAAAGGGAGCTGGAAGCGGAGGGACTTCCGGGAGGGCGGAGGAGGCGGAGGTATGTCCGGGGATTGTGGGGGGGCCGGGGCCTTCTAAAAAGCCCCGCCTGCCCCCACTGGATTTTTTATTTTGGCGAAAGCAGGAGCAAGAGGTGTGGAAATAAATAAGGAAGGG